GAGCATGAGAGGGAGGAGGGTCAGAGGGAGAAGCAGACTCCCTGCCGAGCAGGGAGCCCGATGCGGGACTCGATCCCGGGACTCCAGGATCATGACCCGAGCCGAAGGCAGTGGCTTAACCAACTGAGCCACCCAGGCGCCCCTATTATGTTCACTTTTTAAAGCTTGATGCTTCTTAAGAGTAAAGCATTCAGCATAGCAAAAAGGCCCAGACCGTGTTGTGCTGGGAAGAGAAGACTCAGGGAATACAATCATTCTCCTCCATTAGAAGACAATCTATCACAGGAGGAGGATCACATTTGTTCTTTCTGGTCCCAAAGGGGATACAGGGTTAGGGAGTAGAGGCCACAGAGACAGATTTCTGCTCCTAGGGAACACTTGCTACCAGAAAGATGGAGGGCCTTTAGTGGTGAGTTCCCTGATTGGAATTTTGTAAGCACATCTAGAAGTGGCTATGTAATGGGGATGCTATACAAGATGTTCTCCATAAAGCCTGAAACAGAAAAGGCATGAGGTCTAAATTCTCTCTCTCCAGAGGGCTGAACAAGGATTACTGGGTAGAAATAATTACAATAATCATTATAGGAGTACTTGTCTTACCATAATTGGTAGGTGGGACCTGAGATTTTCCTTCCACTGGAAGGAAAGTGTGTGCTCTCTCAAAATCTTTTTATTTTTTTTTAAGATTTTATTTATTCATTTGAGAGATACAGAGAGAGAGAGAGAGCACAAGCAGGGGGAGAGGGAGAGAGAGAAGCAGGGGCTCCCTGCCAAGCCGGGAGCTCGACATGGGGCTCGATCCCAGGACCTAGAGATCATGACCTGAGCCGAGGGCAGATGCTTAACCATCTGAGCCACCCAGGCACCCCTCAAATAAATAAAATCTTTAAAAAAAAAAAAAAAGGTATGTTACCTAGACCTGCCAGGTCTTCTTGTAGAAGATTCTTCTGTTGTGGGAGAGACTATACTAAATTACTAGTTCTGAACTCATACTGTGCGCATGGAAGTACCTCGGGATCTTGTTGCCAGATCATGGCCTTGGACGCCCCAGTAAGGAGTGAGGTGGGAATCAACTGGAAGGCTTGGGCAGCTGGATGAGATCACCATTTCATATAACAAAGAAAGGGCTTCATCTGTGTTTCAGTTGGGAACTGAAGCAGAAGGTACCCAGGTGACAGTTGACATCTATGAGAGGGAAGCAGCCATCGAGATAGACTACAGCTCTCTAAGAGACGATCTGAAGGTAATCCAAAGATTTCTGTTAGGACTAACTCACTGTGATAGTGAATATTTAAATATACTACAGAATACTTTTTAGACCATAGAGCCTACGTTTGGGGAAAAAAGTAGATTGCCTAATGGTTTTTGAAGAAATGGTTTAAGTAGGTGGCTTTTTAAAAATGTTTAGATCAGCATTTCTCACTGTGTGTTCAGCAGAACATGAGTATCGTGAAATTTCTTCCCAAAGAAGAAAAGCTTCTGTGGTCAGCCAGTTTTTTGAAGGGCTGTCTCCTTGAAGATGCACAATGATTATTAGTCTCTGAGAAATCCTGCAAGAGACAGAAGTAGCCACCATGCTCCAGCGTCCTGGCTTCTGCCCGTCAGGGTTCCGCTGTGGCCCCTGCATTCACAGCTGCAGGGTACACACCTGGGATGCAGTTTCAAGGGCTCTTTAATTGAGCAGCTCTAGCTCTGCGTCACAGGCACCCCTATAAGCCATACTACAATGCTATGTTTCTTTTCTGTTTTGACTCCATCCTGACTAGCCTTCCATCAAGCAGGGACCCCCACCCCACCCCACCCCCAGCTACAGGGGACGCTTGAGAGAGAAATGGTTAAACATGGGCTCTGTGAGAAAGGAGGGAGTAGAGAGCAGACGCCAAGTAGCAATACCCACATCTTTTAATTTCACACGTTCTTAATATATGTTGTGAGATTCATTGGGCTCTTGGATTGTATTTATGCTATTTTGAGGCAATGAGAAAAAAGCTTTTGTCTCTTCTATAGTCTATTTAATGCTTTCATTTTAGAAAATCCTTCCCCACCTTATTACTGAGTAAATATTTATAAATATTCTTCCTGTTCATGGTTTTGCTTTCATTACCTATTTAATTCATCTGAAATTTATTTTGGCATATGGTATAAGGTAAGAATCTGTTTTTAAAAAGTGACCTAAGTTAGCCCATTTACGCAACATGTGTCAAGTAATTCTCTTCTCAGGGACTTAAAACGTCACCTTTATCATATATAAATTAAAGATCCTGGGAGGACAAGAACGCTTTCCTGGAAGGTTTCCCTTCCCTCCTCATTCAAGCTCTATCCACTGTTCTGGTTTCAGCTTCAGTGCTGCCCCCCCCTCCCGCCCCCGAAATTGGGTCCCTTCTCTGCCTCGCAGCACCTGTGGTTGGTGTTCAGAGCGTATTCGCACTGTTGTCAATGCCAGTATGTGGGTCTGACTTCCCTGTGAGCTCTTTAAGGGCAAGGCCAGAACAGTTTTTTGTTTTTTTTTTCTAAGGTTTTATTTATTTATTCATGAGAGACAGAGAGAGAGAGAAGCAGAGGCAGAGGGAGAAGCAGGCTCCCCGCAGAGCAGGGAGCCCGATGCCGGACTCCTGAGCCGAAGGCAGACGCTTAACCGACTGAGCCACCCAGGCGTCCCAGGCCAGAACAGTTTTCATCACTGAATGCCTAATACATAGTAAACAATCAGTATTTTGTAATGAATAAGTGAAGGTAATATGTGAATTGAGGAATTCTTTTTAGCCAGATGAGGAAGTACGGAAGGGATGCGGGTTCCAGGAGAGCAGGGTCTCTAACACTAGAGCCGTGGATGAGCACAGCTGGCTCCAGAAGCTAGGGATAGCGCAGCCTGCTGGCATTTCAGACTCAGAGGGGTTCGAGGGAGGGAAGGCATGTTTGTGGAGGGAGGGAGGGAGCAGCGGCCCGATCCTGAAGGGCCCTGTGCCTAATTACTCAACAGTTTGGAAAGGCAAGCTAATCATTGCTGTTCTTTACCCAATAATAGGCTCTACAAACTGATAAGGAAGTGGAGGCCCACCTGAGACTCCTGCTGCAACAGGTGGCATCCCAGGAAGACATCCTCTTGAAGACTGCGGCCCCAAACCTGAGAGCCCTGGAGAACCTAAAGACGGTCAGAGACAGGTTTCAGGAGTCCACAGATGGTGAGCCTGGGCTATAGTTGTCAGCAAGGCCCATATTCCTGGGTGTGGCGGGCTTGGATTTCTGTAACACCAGCAATCCCCCCTGGATTGTAGCTTTATTTTTATTTAGCTTTTTATTTATTTGTATCATATATTTTCCTCTGTTGTTTTATATTAATGTGCATTTTTAATACTAATTGCTTCCTTTTTGAAAGTGTTCTGCTTTAACTCAAAAACCGGTTTATTACTATTTTTTTAAATTTGAGAGAGAGAGAGAGAGCGCCCCCCCCCCCCCCCCCCCCATGCAGGGCTCAATCTCATGACCCTGAAATCACAACCTGAGCAGAAACCCAAGAGTCAGACGCTCAACCGAGCCACCCAGGTGCTCCAGGTGTATTGGTTATTTTAGAACAGATATTTTTTTATACCAGCAGGATGGTCATATTAGATACTCTTTCTGAATTTGTCATTATCTTAAAATTAGCCCTACTAGAAAAATGGCTCATCAATTTTAAGAGCCATGTTCTTGGAATTAATAACAATTGCTGTATTTTAAAGGTAGACTGTACTCAAGACAACCAAATTCAAAATCCAGTTTTTAAAATACTCTACGCTTTTGGGATGCCTAGGTGGCTCAGTCTGTTAAGCACCTGCCTTCGGCTCAGGTTATGATCCCAAGGGTCCTGGGACCGAGTCCCACATCGGGCTCCCTGCTCAGCTTCTCCCTCTGCCTGCCGCTCCCCCTGCTTGTGCTCTCTCTCCCTCAAACAAAATCTTAACAAAAAATTAGTAATATTCTATGCTTTAAAGTTGAAATAAGAGGAGCCAGCCCCTAAGTGGTCTGCAAAATAAAGAACACTGATTTTCTCTTAGCTTTTGAGGCCAGCAGAAAGGAAGCCAGAATGTGTAGGCAAGAGTTTGAACAGGTGAAAAAAAGGAGATACGACCTTTTCAGCCAGTGTTTTGAGCACGTCTCGATCTCAATTGATCAAATCTACAAGAAGCTCTGCAGAAACGTCAGTGCCCAAGTATGTATTTTTCACCCCCAGATGTTACTGGGAACTTTGTGTTGGTGGTAGTTGTTTTCTGGTGGGAAATAAATGTGTCACATTATCTGAGTGACCCACTTCTGGAGCAAAGTCAGTTCCAGAAGATTGGTTACCATCGTAACTGGGTGTGTTCTAGATCCCACTCACTCTACCACTGGCCAGCCTGGACAAGGCAGAACCTCTCTGGGCCTGTCTCTTCATCTGAAAAATGAGGGGATTGGTCATTTAGTTTCCAGATTCTCTTCAGTTCTGGAGTTCTGCTCTCTGGTGCTAATTTGATTTTATGGAACGGTCAGTGGTCTCTGTAGTGAAGGTACCTGTAATGTAGAGGGTCTTGGGAAATGGCTGACCTGGGGTCAGGAGAAGGAAAGAACCAAAGGCAGGATTGTGTTGATAGTCTCTTTGCTAGAACCCTTGCCCGATCCTCAGTCAGTCCCCATGGCAGATCCTGTGGTGCTGAATGTGGACTCAAGATGTCGATCAGGTCTTCCACATCTGCTTTTACCTTTCTCGTGGTGTTCTTTTATGGCTGAAAGTTGATCCTGGATCAGATATTGAGAATTTTAGCCAAAAATAGTTATTTTCAGTAAAGACTGAAATAAACCCAGTAACTCCTTAAAGGCAGGATTCATCTCTGTAGCCACAGTACCTGGCCCACAGCAGGTATTCAGTAAGTGGCTGGTGAATGGGCCACCGAGTGGGCTGCCTGAAGACTGTTTTTGTCAGACGGTGGTACGTGCTGCCTACGTCTGCCTGGCAGGCCTGTGGGGAGGCCTGATCCTTTGTGTTAGGGTGTTTCCCCTCTGCTCCCCACCCAGACAGCCCCGTTTCCTGTGACCACACTGTAGAGCCAGCTATGTACATTATCTGCAGGCATCTGTATTTTGCCATCACAATGGAGGAAAACCTAACCAACAGAATATCTTGCAGTTAAACTCTATTGCAGTTTCCAAAGTTGAAATTTACTAATTGCTTTTCTGATTTTGCTGAGTAAATAACCTGTGTTTCAGGCGTTTCTTAGCCCAGAGAACCCAGAAGAGCCTTACCTAGAGGGAATTAGCTATAACTGTGTGGCTCCAGGCAAACGGTTCATGCCAATGGACAATCTGTCAGGGGGAGAAAGGTGTGTGGCTGCATTAGCCCTCCTGTTCGCCGTGCACAGGTAAGACCATGGCGAGCTATCTGATTTTGCATCAGGGCAGAAACCAAACGGACCCTCCTACAAAAGACCCGTTTTAGCATATGTGATACAGAACTGTTTTCTTTAGCCAGACAATATTCGGGTTCTATAATAATTTAGACTGCAAATCTAACACACAATTCAGTCTTAGATAGATTTTCATTAATTTTCTATAATTACCAGTAGCTACTAATATTCCAGCTTTACAGAAAAGAAAGGAAAAAAAAGAAATACTGGAATGGCCACATATGACATCAGGGTTGCCAACAGTTAACAACAACAAACCCAAACAGAACAAAAACTCCCGACCTTTGTATTATTTTCCTAGTGCCTATTCACAGACCTGTGTTTATGTAAAGAATGTTAAGTGAAGTATTTCTTCTGAAAAAATGTTTGACCTCATTTCCAGTGGTGGCAGTTGAAGTAAATCAAGAAAACATTAGCTAAAATTAGGGCAACTGACTTTCAACATGCAAATCCTTAGATGAAGATCTAGGTGCACATGATGCAGCCTCTCTGCTTTCGTGACCAGGAAGATCAGCCTAGGTTCTCCAGCTGCTTTTTACTGCTCCCAAGGATAAAGAAGAGGCCATTACAGGAGAGGAACAGGAAATAGCATTAACGCCAGCAGACTCTGGGGAGAGCAGGCCGCAGGAATCGAACCACGAGCCTGTGCTGAGCAAGTCTCAGCAGAACAGGACTAGTACCAGGTGTCACTGCCATCCATTTATTCAGCAGATACTACCTATCTACTGTGTGTCCGGGGCTGCCGGTGTAGGCTTTGGAGAGACAGCAGTGAACAAAACAAAATCTTTGCCTCAGAGACTTCATTTTTATCGGGGAAGACAAATGAGAAGGTATATTAGTAAACTAATTCTCTAACATATAGACTATCAGGAAATGACAGATGCTACAGAGAAAAAAAGTAGGGAATGGAGATCATAAGTAGCAGTAGCAGTAGCAGGGTAGGGTTTGCAGTATTAAAGACTCACCTGGGAAGGCCTACTTGAGAAGGCAACATTTGAGCAAAGATTTGAAGGAATGAAGGGAGTAAGTCTTGCAGATAGCTAAGAGAAGAATGTTCTAGACATGGAGAACAGCAAGTGCAAAGGTCCTGAGGCCAGAGAGAGCCTGGCATCTGTAGTGAACAGACTGTATAAAACAGTGGCAGGCACAGGGCTGGGAAACTATTGTAGCAATCAAGGTGGAAGATGAGGGTGGGCTGGACCAGGGTGAGAGCAGAGGTTGAGCAGACAAGGTGTGGGGTGTGAAGGAGGCAGCAGGATGACCCCTAATCAACTAGAGTGGGAAGACCCCTGGAGGGAGTAGTTCTGGAGCGGAAGGTGAGGAGCGGGATCTTGGATGACCTTGAGCTGTTTATTAGACACCCACATGGAGCTGTCGAGTAAGCTGCTGGACAAGGGAGGCAAGTGTGGGAGCCATCAAGACATGGATGATATTGAAACCCTGAGAAGAGATGAAATCACCAGGGGAACTAATTAGTGTGTAAGCACTGCACCCCAAGGGCACTGCACTGAGAGGAGTTGGTGGAAGAGATGGAAGGAGTGGTGGGTCAGGTGAGGGGAGCAGACGGTCATCCTTGATGTCAGAGCCACAGGCCGGGGGCAGCCCCAAATGCCACCTGCAGTGCTCACGGGGGACACGGACTGAACATTGCACATTGGGGTCATTGGTGACTGAGGCTAAAGCATTCAAGATGATGTATCTTATTTACTCCGAACACTGTTAATCCTAATAGAAAGCTGTGACTTACTGGAGTGTAACTTTTTTTCTAGTTTTCGGCCTGCTCCATTCTTTGTGTTAGATGAAGTGGATGCAGCTCTGGACAACACGAACATTGGCAAGGTCAGTTTCTTTCTGCTTTTAATTTCTAGTAGATCACTTACAACTCGAGGATCACGTTCTGGTCAGAAAGACAGTTTACCCTGAACACACAGTTTGTTGGATAATTGCTGATTAAAAAGTCAAATCTAAGTTAAATATCTGAAAATTTGGGGCAGTTTTCATTTGAGGTTTAGGGGACCCTCAATGAATTATTAGGGAATCAGGATAGGAGTCAGGTGAGGATCGTTTTACTGAATCCACAGCATTGCTAGTGGGTAACTTGTCCCCAGATCTAGATTTTGGGACCTAGAGGGTCACCAAGAGGCCCGGTGGCAAATAGGACCAAATCAGTTGTTTAATAAAGTCTAAAAATAACACTTCTAAATAAAATTCCAAAGAAATTAAAGTTCAAACTTCTGCTCCCCCCCCCGCATTTATTAAAATTAATCCAATTGTTGCACTTCATGATCCTATTTCTCAGTATTTGAGACGAGGGAACTAAGGAAACAGTTTAACTCTTGGGAGTTCAAGTTAAGGTCAGCCTTCAAGATGAGAGCATAGATCTAAAAAGCCCCCTGAAAGAGGACACTGAAGCCACATATCGCCACTGTGACTTTCTGACATGAGAACGGAGTCGGCCATGGAAGCCTGACCAAAGGCCGCGGAGTCCATCACTGGCAGTACCTGGCCCGTGGCTGCCGAGGGACGGGACAGCTGCAGCCCACGGACTCTGGTGTCATGGTCCTACTGCCAGAGCCGTCATTTTGGAGATGAATGAATCAGACTCCTGGTTCCAATTCCAGGCACAGTGGAAGCTGGCATCCTGCTATACACTTAGTCTTGTGAGCTTGGCTAAGGAGTCCTTCTCGGAGCGGTGTCTTCAGTTCTCAGTGCCACCCTGGCAGGCTGAGTCTCCAAAGCTGGCCCACCTGCTTTCTCAGTCGGCTGAGTCTGCCGGGAGGGGCCGGAGCTGTAGCTGAGGGGCCTGTCTTCTTTCAGCGCATCCCGAGCTGTCCTCCTCTGACCCTTCCTGCACAGGGCACCGAGTGCCTAAGGACAGCCTGTCAGCTTCCAGAGTCCCAAAATGTAGAAAGCTGATCCCCAGTCCCTTGAACCTTGTGGAGGACAGCAAGAGCCACCTTCTGGGATCTGCCAGATTTCAGAGTAACCAGGGAAGGAAGACATGGGAGCAACAGAAAATCTGTTGTCTTTGAATGCCAGCCGAGGTGCATTGGCTAATGGGACTCGATGGCCTGACTCATTTGGGAGAAATCTCCCTTGAAGAGGTGACTTTAGGTACTTTGTACCCATGTTCTGTATGTTGGGGTGGGGCTCTATTTTTGTGGACTGTGTTTTTTAAGGTATCTGTCTTCTAGCAAAATTTAGATGTTTGTATTACCACCATCTCCAGAGACTCTTACTTAAGGCTCTTCTGTTGGCACCCATCCTATGTATGAAAATCCTTTTAACTTCCAGTCTTCCCTTGAAATTTACCCTCCTGGCCATTCCACTGCCCTACTGAGCATGAGCGAATAGAGGAGGACCAAACCCAAAGTAGCTCCCACTCCGTCCCGTGCTCAGGGTGCCCCGTTTACCTTACCACAGGTAACGCTCCAAGCCAAATGCGTCCCTTCTGCCTCACCTTCCATTCTTGACAGCATCCCAGGACTTCACAGTCCTGCATCCTAGTGGCCACCATGGCCTCGAACGCCAGATGGAGTTCCTTCTGCCTGTGGATCCAAGCCTCTTGGCCAAGGGCACTTTCCCCTCTTCATCACTCACCCGAGCTAGTGACTTGCTCCCCACCCAGGGCTGCCGTACCTGCTTCCAGAGCTGCGTCCTTACCACCCTGGTGCAGTCGGGACTGATGCAGACAGAGAAGAGCCCTTCTGGCCCCTCACCCCAGCTGGGAGTTGGCAGACGTTTTGTGAAACTGTGGCCAAGTTCTTCCCTATGTTTCTCTGGGTTCCGAGCAGAGTTTGTTCAATAAGACTCATTTCTCTCCAGAGTCCATTTTGTTCTTATATTCTCATGCCTTGGATTCGAGCTTCCTGAAGGAGCCACTGAGTTCAACTTTAACCAAATAATTAGATTATGGTTATGAATACATATATAATTGCCATTTTTCCCACTTCTGGCTTTAAGTTAGCAAAACAGGAAATTGGAAGTTTAAATACCAGTCTGTCCTTTCCCACATAGTGTCTGAGTGGCAGTTTTTATCTTGTTATGAAAGCTGATTGCATTTTCACCTGACGGTATCTTAAGTTAGAGCTCTGTTCTTAAAAACATTCTTAAAGTTTTAGATGCTAGATTTAGTAAGATTTACAACTTTTTTACTAACCTCTTTAGAATCTGAATTATTTCCATTTCTGCAGTTACAGTGGATTTACTGAGTTACCAGAAAGGCAAGTAAGTGCCTTATCACCTCCCATGGGCAAAGCCGGAGACAGGCCCAGTCACCGTCCAGGGGCCCAGCAACGAGGCCTTTCCCTGCTGGTGAAATGTGGGCTTTGCGTTCCCCGCAGGTCTCAAGTTACATCAAAGAGCAGACGCGAGAGCAGTTTCAGATGATAATCATTTCCCTAAAAGAGGAGTTCTATTCCAAAGCCGATGCACTGATAGGCGTCTATCCAGAGGTAAAGACCACCAACGGGGAGAGGAGAAGTGTCCCTCAGTTCTTTCCTGACACCTCATCACAAGTACCGGTGGAGTCTGGAGATACGGTTTGATTTCTGGAGTTGATAAATATAGGCTTAAATGATTTTTTAAACCAAGTAAGATTTTAAAAACTCATTATTTTTCTATGGCAGTACACAGAAATTTTAAAGATATGCTTTAAGTGAAAAAGCAAATCAAACTTGCAGAACAGTTAAAGATACATGCTAACGTACACAGCAAACTATTAATATCCTATTTCATATTTTTCTAATGTTTGAATGTTTTAGGCAAAACAAATGCATTGTGGGTAGCACTAAAGGAGCAGAGGAAAAAACCAGTTGATCAGACATTCCAAGTTGTATAGTAACTTAGAATTCACACACACCTTTCTCAAGCTGTTCAAAATACTGACCTGAGCTAACGGAGTAGAGCAGCTCATTCAGATCATTCAGTTTGGGGACAGTTAGGCTTTACTTCCTGAGTTTTCATTTCAACTAAGATAAAAATTAACTTCCCTTCCTGTGCCTCCAAGATGTGAGGGGACCCCTGGAAATTCTCATCCCAGCGTAGGGGAGCCAAAAAGATCTTTTTCCTCTACCCATCTCAGGTTCTCTGTAAATCAGACTGGCAAAGGCAGGTGAACGAGAAAAACCGCTCATACCGCGTGCACCGCACACGCGCACGGCGGACACACCTGGTGAAGAGTAATCCCAGGGCTGGCTGTCTGGGACTTGGGCTTCTACACCGTTCCAGGCTAAACTGAGGAGAAAGGGTTTGGGGCTTCCGGGTCAGGGAGGCAGGTGAGGGGAAGGTGAGGAGTGTGGCGAGCGCAGAGCGAGCGTCCTCCTGCAGCAGCGCGTGACCTCTGCCCGTGGGACGCTCGTGCCTACTGTCAGCAGCCCCTCAGCGCGGTCATCTGGGCTGGCATGTACGTGCACCTTCACCAGAGAACACACCAGCGGGAAGCTGACCTAACCAGGGACCAGTGGCTATGAGGAGGCCCCTTTTTAAGTGCGAATCCAGGTTCCCTAGTGGCCCTTCCTTGACGTTTGATGACACTTCGTCCCTAAGCAGAGAGCTGACCCTCTGCTGTCCTCTCTCATTTCAGCAAGATGACTGCATGTTCAGCCGAGTTTTGACCCTGGATCTTTCTCAGTATCCAGACACCGAAGACCAAGAAAGCAGCAAAAGAAACTGAGAGTTGCGTTAGGACCGTGAGTGACCCCGAGCCAACAGGACAGTCGGGCAGGTCAGGGTCACCAGTGCTTAGTCCTTGCTCCTGAACAACCAAGTGCGGGAGCAGTTGAGCGGCCAGTGCCACTGCGACCTCCCAGATGCTGGAGCTCGCTTCCGTCCACGTTCAGGCCCCTTAGCGTTGCATGGGTTAATTTCAACTGCCATTTTGAAAGCCAGTCAGAAAAATGTTGAATTCTGCATTATTTTCACTCAGGTCTTGCCTTGTATGCTTAAGTAATCTTTAAGAGAAACTCTTGGTTCTCAAACGTACTAGTTACAGGGCATAGAACCTGGATTTTATAGGAAGTTATTTCAGAGGATGTTATCAATATTGAAAATATCAATAAAGAATATTCTAATTTCAGATGTCTCCAAACTACAATTATAGAAACAACAACAACAAAATATTTTAAGGTGAAACTGAATTATGTCCGCCTCAGTGAAATCTAAATTTCTCTAAGTATAATTTCTGTTAACAAAATATTGAGGAACACAGGCTTTCCCAAGTAACTAACAACTGACTTCTCTACTTACACACATTGTTATGGGGAGGAAAGGAAGTTGCCACATTTGCAGTAATACTTCATTTCCATTTCAAGATGGACTAAAATTTTGTACCTAGCAGAGTAGCTCCCTCACTGTGATCTACTGAAAGTCACCCCTCCACACAAGGGTTTGTAAACACGTAAACATAAAAATAAAGCAACACAACATGGAATAAAACAGAATTCTGAGGTGCTGGTGGTCTTCACTGAAGACTGGGCCCACCTGCGGACGGTGGGGAGGGGGGGAGGCCTGAAGAAATAACCATCACTTGTGAGCGCCGCTTACCACTCACCGCTTCATGCAGACTCAGGGCACCCCGTGCCCAGCAAGTAGACCGCAGCCACACAGACACTTCCTGCCCTCACCCCACCAAGCTCTAGCAGCCGCACAGAGCAAGCAGAAGCCACTCGATCTGTCCTCCGCATCTTTTTTAAGACACCATCGGCAATACCCTCTAAATCACAGACTTCCTCTGCCTTGGAAAACATCCAACTTCACGTTGAAATGTCCCTGTAGGGCCCCATGAGCTCAGAGCAGTCCCTTATCGCTGCCTGGGCTGTTCTCACTCCCAGTGATCCCACAAAGTACGGTCTGTTTTGTGAGACCACGCACCCCCATTCCTGCCAACCACGGGATGATGGAGGGATGCAGATGGGGCGCTGTTACAATAGGGCCTTCTTGTCATCACCACCCCCACCCCCCCGGAGCCAGTGTTTCTCACCAACAAAATCACACCCAAGCAAATGAGTGATGCTCAAATTGTTTGACAGATCAATCCTGTTGAAAGACATTTGCACTTTAATACAAGCGTTAGCAGAACTGACCACAGATCTCCCCGTTCATGACAGCAAGAAGGCACTCGACGCTCATCCTGAGCTGGTTCCACTTTTCCAGTCTCATATCCTCTTCCGCATCATTTTCCATGCTTGTCTACCCTGTGTCTAACCAACTTTCAGATTCATTCATCCCTGGTTGCACTTTGTAAACGTGTCTTTAAAAAACCAACAACTTAAATATTTGCTTTTTAAAAAACTTAAAACACATTCAAGTAGTCACTTGACTTCACAACTGATAACTCAGGGTAAACGTTCTCATTAACTATATCACATCAAGCCTTGTCATAACTAAAGTTGAGCACACAAAGTTGAAGTTAAAATTTTATTTATGACCAGAGTAACATAAGATTTTTCATGCTTCAAAAAGAAAAAAAAAGTCTTAAGCGGGTCTCTGGCTTCTCTCTCATTCACAACACATCCCAACCTTGTGGTTTCTGTTCTTAACTTTCTCTCTACCTGGGGGAGCTCCAGCGCCTTCGATGGGGAGTGTCATGGGATTGGGCAAGAAACCACATCAAAAATAGCAGCCTCTGAAAAGGAAAGTGAGCAGGGTCCCCGCCAGGGTCACAGTCGGAGCGGCTCCCGGCGTGCGGCTTTCTGCCCCTGGCTGACCCTGACCGCTCCCACGGCCGCGGGCCCTCTAGAGGCTCTGTCTGCCTCGCTGCATGCGAACCCCAAGGGGGCCGGAGGAAGAGACTTTTAAGAGACGAACAGAAAGGCTGGACCTTACCCCACAGAATAAAAACTCAGAAAACTTGGAATTTACACTCTAACTAAAAGCTGCAGTCTTGGTCTTGTGCTCCACTTGTCGTTTCTCAGCTGTCCACCAGTGTGCGGACCCGGCCAGCACTGAGCTGCCATCCGGGGCCCCTCCGCCGAGGTCAGGCCTGCCGTTCCGGGAGCTGAAGTCACTAAAATCAGGTAATTCCAAAGAAGCCCGCTGAGCTGGTCTTTCTTTTTCAAAACATCCCATTCTCAGCAGCAGATGCAGCGCCTCCAACCAGCACCGGCTCCCGCTTTACTACTCAACAACGCAACAACGCTAAGCTTTTCTCCACGGTAACAGACGTTTCCACATAAAAATTATAAAATTTAAGTGTCTAGTGTTTTTTTTTCCTCTTTGGCAACTACTGTTGCTTGGACAGTCCTCACCCTCCCCTTATTAGAAAAACCACCCTGACAAAGGGGGTGTGTGGCGCGGGAGCCCGGAGCCCGGGACCCCTTCCCGCCGCCCGTGGTCCCTGAGGTAGCTGGCCGCCGGCCGCACAGCGGCCACCTGCCGGGTGCGCGTCCCCTCCCAAGCAGTCACCCCCCACAGCGGGACCTGCACGCAGCCCTCGAGGCCGCACAGCCCCACGGCTCTTCAGGGTGTGGGACGGGTCAGAGGGAGAGATCCCCCGCGGAGTTCTCCGAACATTCCTCATCGTTTGGGTTATGGCACTGCGGTTACAGAAGGCTGGTTTTCAAGTTGCAGGTTTTATTGGTTTTAAAGATTTCAAGACCCTCCAGCATCATCTGTTCCAACAACAAAAAGAAGGAATACGAAAATGTTAAAACTCAGCTTAAAGGAGTGTTTGCGGAGGATCTCTAGCTCAGGAACTGTCTACGGCTTTTCTCCCACGCTAAACACTCTCAAAGTGACTCCATCCGGAAGCAGCCACTGCCACCTCTAGACATGGCTCTGGGACCCGTACAACCGTCAGGGAATCTCGACGCCCGGATGTAGCCCTTTCCCTTCCTAGAGGACCGGGAGCAGGGAGCGGTCACCCGACGGGGGGGCCATATCACCATGCGGATGGCAGGAGCCCACCACAGGGCAGGGAGGACGGCAGCCGGCCACACTCCTCTGCGCTCTCTGGCCCCCGGGGACCCGGAGGGCTTCCCTGAGGACACGTGCCTGCCTGGGGCGCTGGCACCCGGGGATCCCCTGGGGCCCCACTGGCTCCCTGGCCACAGTGCCCCACCGCCCAGGGGCGGCCCTGGAGGGGGAGCCGCGCATACGCAGCCAAAGCAACACCATGGGCTCTGCCTTCTTCACTCGCACAAGTGACCGAGCGGCCCCAGACAGGGCGACAACACGGGGCAGGAAAGAGACCAGTGGGAAAAACCACCCGTCCTGGAGGAAAACAATCAAAGCGCTCATTTCATTTTTTTCATTTTCATTTGCTTACAGATGTCCTTACTAGCTGAATTTACACTCCAAATATTTGCCAAAGACTGGAAAGAACTATATTCGAAATGCCCCCGAAACGGCATTCTCTGCCTACAGGTGTGTGTGTGTCGAAGGATCTGCTGCAGGGGTGGCTCAGCGTCCTCCAGAAGGCTCCCTCCCATCTCCTCCTGCCGCCAGGCCTACCCAGCGGCGACACTCTGCCCACAATGCTCAGTTTTTTCCTTGCTTCTCCGGTCCTGAGAAAACTATGGTTTCCTCGATTGTTTCTTTTGACTCTGTTCCCTCCTCCTTGATTTCATCCTGGTTGGACCTCCTGGATTGATTTCTGCTGTTTTTCTCATGCCTTCATGTTCATTTTCAGTCCTTAACTTTTCAAAAACTTTCTGGGAGGTTCTCAGAATTATGTTGTAGCCTTTGGGTTAAATTTTTATTTTGAGAGCGTTACCGTTAATTTCTGGGAGCTCTTCTTTTCTGACTTATTCTCTTTCATAGCATCTCCCCCCCACCCCCCTGGCCATGATTGTGATCTCTTTTCAAATTTCTAGAGACACCAGGGGCTTCCCTGGGTATCTGACTCTACTCCATTCCTGAAAACACTGGGATTGAGGATTTTCAGATAAGAGTTAACTTTTTATTACTTTAAATAAGAAAACATAAGCAAAATGCCCTTAAACACCTCTCTGACAACCCACTAAGAATTTCTAGGGCTATGAAGCATGTCACATGTCAGGTACCTGTTATTCAACATTTAAATGACGCCCCGGGGTGGGGGGTAATGTTTGAGCAGTGCTGGGACACTGCATTTTTCTTCTACATCATGAGGAACATGTACTGTTGAAACAGTCTGTTGTAGATACAGAGATCGCTGATGAAGACAGAGAACACTGAAAACTGAGCCAGGTATATAAAAAAGATTTCCACCTAAATATACCTTCATCAAATTCCTGAATGTGAGGGAAAAAAAAGATCCTAAAAGCTTCCAGAAAGGGAAGCAACAGGTCACCTACAGGTGACAGAGACCTGGGCTGGCAACAGACTCTCTCCCAACAGGAAACCGAGACCCGTAAGACAGCGGAGTCCCTCGGGAAAGTAGGAAGCAGAACCCCACACTCCGACCATGCATGGAGAGTAAGGACCACGAGAAGACACCTGCAGACACCCCGGGCCTTGGGGAGCTGGTCCGCTGCACACAGGGCTGTCACAGCCCCCGAGGGGCCCGGGCAGAAGAAGAGCCAGCAGCAGCCCAGGAGGCCAGGGAGGGCAGCTCGGGCCTGGAGCGGAGCAGAAGGTCAGGGTCTCGGGAAAGGGGGGCGGGCGGTATGACCGAGAGAGTGATACGTTAAAAACACTGCGAAACATTGATTTTTTGGACAAGGCAAACAGAAATCTAGAAACTCCTCAAAAAATAAAAAGCAACACCAGCAACTCCAACATGCAACAAACAAAAAATGCATTTGCCCTTGACATTGAGAACATCCTGCAAATGACTCCGGTCCCGTTAACGCAGCACCCAAGTCGGTGAACCAGGAAAAAAATACCTGCACTATTTTAATAAAGTAAGTGCTTTTGTTTCCAACTTTGAGACAACCGACAAGCAGACCGGGGGGCTCGCTCCGGCCCGGGCCGTGACCACGCACCCAGCACTGCCCACAGAGAAGTGGCCTGGCTGGGGGAGGGGCCGGTGCAGACTCGGGAGTCCCACCCGCGACTGGGCAGCTAGAGATGAGGCGCCCTGGGCCCTGGAGGGAGGCCGGGCTGGGCGAGCGGCACCAGATCCCCTCCCGGAGGCCACGGGCCTGATCCACTTAGATAATCGGTTTCCGAACATCTCAGTCCGTGACGGAGGGAACAAGAAACAGGATTTGAAGTGGT